GGCCAAGTTTGGACAACACTGGCCTAGATGAAGAAACAGATGAATGCTCCCTTGGAGCAATACCTTTGTTGGTGTGTAAATTATCAACAAAATTACTAGCTTGTCTTTGACTAACTTTGCTTACAATAAGTCAGTTCATTGATTAATTACTTACCATCAAGTCATTGTCAACTCTTAGCAACCACACAGATTTTCTCCATGGTGATCCCCCAACGTGGTTCTTCAGCTGTTTCAATGGTGCACTCACCAAAAAGTCTCCGCTTCAGGCTGCTTATTTGACAAATATCACCTGAACTGCAAACCACTCAATGCCTCCTAAGAAGTAGACTGCACTGCCCTTTTATGGGAATAGGGCTTATGTCTGCCTATCATTAGTTCTGCCGTTGTCCCCTCAGCCCCCCCCCCATTAACTTTTCATTTATAGAAATATAAACTAGGTTAAAGTCCGGTTGGGCAGTGCATGGTTCAATATGAAGCAGAAAACTAGGTCACATTGGGTGAATTAGGCCACTGGGTTAGCGGTGGTGCTAGTTTTTTAGGTTAAGTCCTACTACTGTTGTTGCATGTTGGTTCAGACATAGTGTATTATGGGGCAGGCCACTGTGTTTTGTTTACCCAGATTTTGGGTTTCTCATCTTGGGTGAACTCAGTCAAAGTCCAAAGCCCCGCTACAAGAATCCAAATTAAAATATCCCAGATAGGGGACTTCCTAGGACAAGGGTTCCTTATCCCCACTTTACCCTAGAAGAGACCACTTCAGGCTGAAAAAGTACATGAAGTAAAGACTGAACATCTCAAGTTCTTTATTCATAATAAGTAGGCAACCGGCATCTGCAGATTAAGCTTTTCAATACATGTTTAAGATTTCTTTCGCATTCCACAGGCTGCAAACTTGGCCAAAGTCCAGAGAGAAAAAGAAATGCCAATCAGTCACTGGCAGAAAACAAGTCCAGGGGCTCTGCGTAGCGCAAGGCAATTTATCCGGGCAGTCTACCGGAAAACCATTCAAGAAATCTTGGTTACCTCAACATCAACAAATGCAAAAACTAGCGCAGCCTCGCTTTGGAGCTGCTGATCCAGACAGCCACGCCAACTTCAAACAGCTTATGTCACCACTTTGAGGGCTCCAAATTGCATGCTCATGCGTGCACGTGTTTGCGCATATACACACATGCACGGCGTTTTCATTTTCCAATCTTTCCGTCTTTTCATGGGGACACCTAGCCAGGTCTCTTCATCCCTTCAATCAGGCTTTTGGTCTCACTAAAATGTGGCCGTTTCAAAAGGCACGGAACAGAGAATGGGTTTGTAGGGAAAGGGGCACTTTTTAACCGAGTGTTTAATTTTCCGCCTCTGCATTTGAGCTATTTTTGCGTATAGTTTCATTCTGATGTCTCTGGAATGTGCTTCAGGAGAGAATAAACTGCATTCTTTTCTGACAGATCCTCATCAGGCACTGAGCGGTGGGTCACAACCCAATTCTGTCTGATCTTCCCACCCCACTTTTGGCTTACTCTTAGCCCTGGAACAGGATCTGGGGATCCTAGGAATGGATCCCTGATCCAAAGTCAGGGAAAGAGGTTGAAAATCTTGGAGGGGAGAGAACTGAACCTGATCACAAAATCTCCTATCACTTCTTCACCAAGATCCCAAAGAGATCAAGTGGGGATTGGAACAATCCTCCACCCTTTGCTTCATGAGGACAAGCTGGGGACACTTCCCGACCCAGCAAAAATTCAGGCCAGCTTGAGAGAGAAGGAATGCCTTCCCACCCCCCGCAAAGGATAAAACATGAAGGGTCTCCTGGCTCTCATTTGTTGGCCGCAGCCCACATGGTATTAGGATTTTTGGAGCGCACCATGTTTGGAGCACTCTAATTTAACTTCAGAATGGTTCTACCTCATCTCTAGACTGGCCAAGTTTTAACTTTCCACGTTTTACCTGAATGGAGCTTAGTGAAGCAATCAAGGTTCCCCCAAGAGCCATCAGCAGGCCGGCAGGCTTACATTAGATGTGGCAATTCAACAACTCGACCAACAAGAGAAGTCAACGTTCTTTTTGCATGGCCACTTGCCTAAACACATTTCATTAGCACTCAAACTTTTGTCCCTTGATCCAGATGCCAGCTTTGCAAAGGTTCTGCTCTAGAGAAAGAAGGGAAATGGAGTAGAAATGCCTATTAAAAACCTGAGATTTTCTCTCTCAAACTGGCACAGATGTTCTGCTTCGTGGGAACACATCTGTCAAGAACTTCCCTTCTCGAAGCAAAGGCTTGTCTCACATGACCTCCCGCACATGATGTGGCTAATTCTCTGGTTAGCCAGAGAGGAAAAAAAGAAACAAAAATCCTACCGAAGAAAGAAACAAAAGTCCTATAAAAGAAATCCTTAACGTGTACAACAGCTGCTATGTTGCATCATCCAAAGAGAGCATTACTCGATTAGTTTATTTTCACATCTTCCTCCTGGAGCCCAGGTTGGGGTCCCACTGGCCCAAACCTCCATGTTCTTTAGTCTTCTAATCATCAAAATCAGGGATGTCATCGTAGGAATAGCCCCGGTAGCCTTTGGAAGCAAAGTACGCGATACGCAAGTGATAGAAGCCCGGAAGGAAAACCAGAATTCCGATGATCAGGACGGGGATGGCGCGATCAGTTCCCTGGAGGACAGAAGAGGAGGAACAGGGTCACAATGCAGGTTGAGGCCTTAAGCCCAGCGGTGAAGATGAACATGGATGACCTCCAGGGCCTTCAAGGGACTGCAGGAAGATACTAAAACTCCCCCCTGCAAAATGGTCACTGGCTTTATCTTTAAAGATGGCTCCATGGTGAAGGGGATGGACTAGGAGCAGGGAGATTCTAGTCCCCCTTTAGGCATGGAAGCTCCCTGGGGCGCTTTGGGCCAGTTCTTCTAACTCAGCCCAAGAGTCAGGGTGATATACTCCTTGTGGTGTTGGATAGAGCACTTCCCCGTGGCTGGCTGGGGAATTCTGGGAGTTGAAGTCCACACATTGTAAAGTTGTGAAGGCTGAGAAACACTCTACTAAGCTTTTAATTGTTAATTGAATAGATTTTGATTTTAATGATGCCAATTTACATTTTCCCCTTGATTTTACTGTACTGTCTTTATTCGTGTTTTGCCATTTGGATCTTAATTGCTCTAAGCTGCTGAGTTGTTGTGGAAACAGAAAAGCAAGATAGGAACCAATCACCCAAACTCCTCTTGACTTCCGAAAGGAAACTCCATGTTTCTAAGCCACCATAGCCCTCCCAGTACCCCAAATTAACCCATACTAGAGAGGGTTTATACCCTGCACTTTCTCCAAGGTCTGTCTTCCTCTCTTCCTGGATCATGAACAGCCGCATCGACATGCCTACCAGAGTTCCAAGACAAAATTGTTGCTCACAACTTACACCTTGGCTGATGTATCCAGCAAGAAGGAGCGCACCAATGATGATGAGAAGGGTCCCAATCAGGAACAGCACCGTGGCCAGGGCAATCGCCTTGTAGGGAACCTTCGGAGGGCTCTTCTTGAACTAGGAGAAAAATGGGGTCAGCTCAGAACAGACTTCCTGGCCCAGATGGACGATTCCAAGCCCTAAAGTTCTCAGCAATGCTCGTGCTGCCTAGGGAATTCTGGGAATTGTAGTTCATACACCTGGGAAGTGCCTAAGTTGGGGCACACAGCTCTTTTTAAGAGCCATTTTCAAGCAAAATATAAATTGTTTTGAATTCTTTTCCTTGGAAGTGGGACAGACAATAACTTGGGTGATTTTCAAGAAGACTTTCAGCACTTGCCCTGACCAGATTCCCTTCCAATCTTTAGGAATCCCCATTCTCAGAATTCCCCACCCATTCAAAGGACCGGCACAAGCCAATCTAGCAACATTTCTGCCAAAGCTACCAGGCCCTTCAAAGCAGAGAACCAAACTCTGGTGCAAGCGTGAGAGATCCACCCTGGTAAGATACGCCTCTCTCAAACAGGGCCCTGGGAGTGAACGGATAGAAAATGAAGGGGTGAACGACAGGTTAGGAATGAAGTGGTGAAACAGGAAGCAGCATTGCTCACGTTGGGGTCAACAAATCCCAGCCTCTTGAGAGTCTGTGACAAGGCCTCCCCCTGGTGGACACCTGCAGCATCTCCAGAAACACATGAACAACTCAGGAAAACCACTGCCAGCGGGTGGAATCCAGCAGTGAAGGACTTCACTTCCCATAATCCTTGCCAACACTGCCACTGATGACCACAGCTTTCCAGAAGAAAGTCTGGGGGAAAATATAAAATTCTATGTCTGTGAGACTAGGCTGAAGCTGATGAAGCCGGCAGGGAAGCAGAGAGGACAAAAGCCAGGAAACTTATCTATGAGATCCCTTCAGGGAGGTAGATAAG